AGAGAGAGAGAGAGAGAGAGAGAGAGAGAGAGAGAGAGAGAGAGAGACCAAAGGGTTCCCTTTTCGTCAATTTAGGGCCCCCTGCAGGTAACTCAAATGACTGCACTTCGACATTGTGGAGGCACTGAGTACCGTCGCTTCAGCAAGCAGGGTGGCCGCATCACAATGAGAGAGGTCGGAGCAGACCACCAATGTATTCGGTGGGGCGAGTTCAGGTCTGTAGCTCGGGAGTTATGGGTCACCAATTCAGCTAGACCCTGTTCGTGTCTCCACGTGATTCTCAGGGCCTAGCTCCACCACTCAGTGGTACTCACTGAATGTATAACATCTAAATGAATCTTCTGCTAAAACATGGAACCATACACCGTCATATCGTATGTCTTTTGTGCATGCGGTGAGTAGTGGCCAGAGGCCCCTTGGGCCACTATACGTATTCACAAGAAGACAAATGGAAAAAAACGAGAGAGCTACAGGCATCTTCACCGCCACTGTACGTATTCAGAAGAAAACAAAAAGAAAAAGCGAGAAAGCTACGGGCATCTTCATCCTAACCCATAACTGCCGACATGCAGACCTGAATGTCAGCATATAGTGGTGGTCGGCTGGACGCACCAAACATGACGTGTGTCATCTACGAGACAGCGTGAGCAGGGCACTACTGGGCAATTATACCCTTCTTGCAAATTCGTCCACCTCTGCGTGGGATTTGCAGAAGGAAAGGGGAAGTCCAGGTATCATACCCCACCCAAAAAGGAAAACCTAGAGGCTCAATGAGCCCTATTTTCATAATCAGCAATTCTGAAATTTGTGGGGGAGCAGACTGCAGAATTCAGAATTTGGCAATCTTTGGGCGCGGACAATTTCCAAATTCACGTGCCGAGTTGAACATTCTTTCCAGGGAGGGTGCCGTAGGTAAATTACGGATACTTTCTTTTCTTTTGTCTTTTGACCTTACTTTTTCCCGTGCGCTGCTCGTGGTGCGGTGCGCGTGGTGCGCAAATCCGCGCACCGAGGTGCGCCGCAACTATGTTCAGAAAAACCGATGTGACGTAGCACTGTTCCAAACAGGCCTGCAGAAAGTTGCACAAGTAGTGCAGTTCCATCAACCTTTTTTTTTTTTTTTTGTGTGTGTGTGTGTGTGTCATCCTTGCGCAGGGGCCATGTAATCTTCTCCGTATCGTTCCAATTTTGACGGACGTCCCGAAGGACAACAGTTCGATCAACTTAAGAATGCCTTAAAGTCAAAACAGGAAACACAAATTCTGCAAGTCAAATGGATTGCCAAGCGTCTGACAAAACAGCCTTCTTACGGGCCCATCGACAAAATGAGAACATACATTGCAGCGAAGAATTGACTTTCCTTGGGCTGTGTGGCATGGGTTAGTCTGGCAAGGGACAGCATCAGGCCCCGTACCCTCTCTTCCTAACAACATCTCAGGACTATTCTGGGTACCTACTACCTAATGATGAGTGGAGCCCAAAGACACAAAGAGGCTCAAACCACCACTACACCCGGGCCTGGAGGCGCTGCGCTGCACGCCAAGTTTTTCTGAACTGCGAGAGGCGCACCTGTTTCCTTTTTTGGTTAGGGAAACTTGCATATATGTTTTCAAAGCTTCAGCCTTGGCGCCGCCAGCCATTGTGGCCAGGTAGGCTCAAGGCACAGAATTTTTGGAGTAGGCGACATGCAAACCCTATCGAATCGTCTGTGCTCTCTGTTCTTTCATCTGAAACTTGCTTGCCAGTAATGAGCAACCGAACAGTTGTCGCCCAGAATAGACGGAGGCCCTTCTTCAACCAAAAAAAAATGAAAAAAAAAAAAAAGACTCAGAGGGCTGGGGCCGTGTACTAGCGGTAACCTAACATCACCTGCGAACACAATGCACATCTCATACTGGACAGCAGTCATCAGAAATTGGAGAGAGAATCTGAGAGATACTTACTGCCGCAGAAAGCACACAACCCGAAGTCAAAAGAAGAAGTCCTACGACAACCGCTGTTCGGAAACCCATCGGTTCCAAAGACGAGGGCAACCACCCTCAATGCCAATGCGTTCTTATCAACTTGAAGTTGTTGAAACAGATAAACTGGGGGGGGAGGGGGCGGCGGAGGTGTGTGGAAATCTTGTATGCTTCTTGATTTGGGAGTCTATCTATAATCCGGATGTTGGGGTGCTGCCAGGAAATGGTCCATATTCCAGACGCCACACGAGTTAGGTTTCTGGGACTCGCTCCTGAAAGCTGAAGCGACGGAGGGTAAGCTAGACAAGCTGCAAAGAGCCAGAGTGTGGATGCAAACATGCGTGAGGAATCCTCTTTCTCTCCCATCTTTTTTTTTTTTTGCTTTTTCCGAAGGGTTATGGGTCTACCAAACACTACCTATTTGCAGCACACATCTCAAGTTCTCAACTGTATGCGGCACACCTCTACTCTATTCGGAGAGCAGCATCCAGCATAGAGTAGAGTAGAGGTCTGTTAGGCACTTTCGAGCTGGCACCAGGTGTTTGGAGCTCTATGCGGACAGCAGTATCCGTATAGCGCTTCTAACACCTGGAACCAGCTGGAAAGTGCCTAAATTGCTTCCACAAGCAGCCAGGAGGCCCAAGCCACACCAGCTCCGCCAGTGAACCCAAAGCGTACCTCAGGAGGCCATGGGGATCGAAAGGAAGACTTCGGGAACCGAAAGGAGGACGTAAGGAATAGAACCGACGACCGCCTGATTGCCACTTGCGAGCTCAACAAACTGGGCTGGCCCGCTTGGGCTCTCCCATCTTGTATTTTTTCTTTCTATGGAAGACGCTTTGACACAGAATTGACAGAACTGGGAAGAAAGGGGATCAGAGACACCAACTCACTGATGGACATGCAGTGTACCCCAATTGGCCATGGCATCTAGGGCATATTCACAATGGTACCTCTTTCAACTGAGTTTTGGGCGAAGTTGTGGCCAGGTACATTGTGGACGAGCCGTAATTGAGATCAGATGCATCCAGGAAAATCCTGGTGTGAGGATGCTGTCAGACATCCATAGAAACTGCACCAGTGGCCCAGTGTAGCAATCCAGATTATCCTTTATGACACCCAAATAAAATGGGAAGATACAAAGAAGACATAAAAGTCATCAAAAACTCACTGCACATGCAGTGTAACCCCCCAAGTGTCTTTCCAGGCATCCATTAAAATTTTGCCAGTGTCGCAAAAAAAAAAAAAAAAAAAAAAAAAAAAAAAAAAAAAGAAGAAGAAGAAGAAGATTATCCTTTGACACATCCAATCACGCTGATTCAACAAAGATTTTACCATAATACAAGTGTAGCACATATATGTGAAGGACTGTCCAAATTAAACAGACAAACAGAAAACATATTCAAATCCAATCACATGAATCTGATCTGATCATTACCATGAGTGTAACTGTGACATCACTAGACCTGCATTAACCCATGCTATACAGCCTTTTTCCCTTTCAATGTTCAACCAATGAGCTACGAAAAGGCCAAAACAGAGGCCTATCAGATAGGGAAAGAAAGAAAAGAGACTAACGAAACAGAAGTTAAGTTATACAACAGAACAAACCAAATCACCAAGCAAAACCAAACCCAATCCAGCGAAACCGAACCTGATTAGATTGAACCCAACCCCCACCAAACCAACCAGCCGCGCCTCGCCCAGCCCAGCCTAGCTGAAACACTCAAATTCAAGATCCAAGAAACAGGTTTGAAGCCTACAACTGCACATATGATGCACTTTAGCAATAAGAGTGGATGCTTCCAGTGGCCTAACTCAGTTGGTAAGGCTCCCAAGTGGCATTCAGGAGGTTGTGGGTTCAATCCCCATTGGCCTCATGTACCTTCCTGGGCATGCTTGGCGCCCGCCACCTAGAGATAGACCACTGGATCCCCCGATCCGCATTGAGCAGAGTCCGCTGATGTTCGTAGGGGAGGGGACCTGAGGGGAGGCACAGGGATTGGTCCTGTTGGCATGGTCCCTGATGCTACCGGCTGTCCCCTAGCTGGTATCGCCCACTTGCAGGTCGGGAGCAGCCCCCGCATGTTCTCTCGTGAACACGGTTCTGGCTGCTACGGGGGAACGTACGATTAGGAGTAGTGGTAGGTAGGTAGCGTCTTACATGCCCAGTTGGGCGATGTACATATATAACCGAGGATCCACAATGTGATGAAAAGGACTGAATGGACAATGCAGTGCAAGTGAAACCTCAACAAGCAGTGTACATCCTGATACATACAACAATGGTGTTTTATAGCGCAGTGGAAGACTTAGATACAAGTCCTGACCTGACCGGGACTGACCTCTTTCACGTACGCAGCAGAATGCTAGAATACCAATGAGTAGCCCGATCAATGTCGGAGTACAGACCAAACATACATCATTTTCATCACAAGGTGTGAAGGGGCCTGGCGCTACACACAGGAAGAACGCGCCAGGTCCAGATCATACACAGACGAAGAGGAGGGGATCAGACGAAGAAGAAGGGGGGAAGATGGGAATGTCGTCAACACCAAGTCTTCGTTACAAGTCCCAGATAACCCCTCGTCAAAATGTCTGAAGTCCAATGTCAAGTCTGGATCCGAATGTCACCAAGCCCGCTCCCTCATAGTCTGCTGATGCAGTGAAGTCAGATAGAGAGAGGGTGAGAGGGAGATGGTGGACTGAGAAGAGGAAGAAGACGAACTCTCTCTCTCTCATGTGCCAGGTACTAACCTGTGAAGTTGGCGCTGTGCTCAGGTACCTCGAAGACGAAGCTGGAGCTATGGCGCTGCAGGTAAGTCTCCCTGGCCTCCGCCCAATCTCTCTCTCTCTCCAGTACTACTCTACTAGCGCCCAGGGCTGAAGACTACTGCTAACGATACTAACGCTCAGCGCTGAAGACTACTGCTAGCGTTACTACTACTCCTGCAGCGCTCCTCCAGAGTGCTGCTGCCGAATCCTGAAGACTACCTCCTGCCTCCTGAACTGCAAGTGAAGTGCCTGGGAAGTACCTAGGAACTACCTGCAGCCTGCAGGGCGGGCCAGTCATATATAGTGCTGCCCCATCCAGGAGGCTGCCCTTGCCAATGCCAAAACGTGCCAGACCCTGGCGTTGCAGCTCAAACAAAGGTTGTCTTGAAAACAGGCCCAAAATGGCCTGTGCTAAAACCCTGGTCTGGTGCGTAAGTTTCAGGGCAGGTCGATCTTATGAGGGCGTGAAAATGGCCCTCCGTTTTAGGCTGAAACGACACAGGGCCTGTAGGCCCTTGTTTTCAGGCTGAAACGACACAGGGCCTGTAGGCCCTTGTTTTCAGGCTTTTAGGCTGAAAACGACACAGGGCCTATAGGCCCTTGTTTTCAGGCTTTTAGGCTGAAAACAACACGGAGCCTGAAAATGGCCCGTGCAGCCTGTTGGGCGCAGCATGTAACATAGTGTGAGGTGAAATTGAGAGCAGAATATAGCTTTTGAAAAAAAAGAAAAAAAAAAAGAACATGTTCATAACGGTGAAGCACTTTTTCTTTCGGTCAGGAGAGTGTGCCCACACCTGATTCCTTGACAAGATCGCAAGTGCATAGAGACAATCGAGTGCCGCCAGCGCTTGCACAGCATTTCGAAAGTCGGTGTAGTGCTTGGAGAATTCAGCCAAGTAGGTCTCCCATGCACGGCTACACGATGCGCTGTGCTCCTCTTTCGCTAACGCCAGTTTATCGTAAGCATTGAGAACAGCAGGTGGATGGTATCTGTGCACCTTCTTTGTGCTAGTGACTTTGATCCAGTCCGCCGGGACTCTCTGATCTAAAGGAACCTGAAGATCCACCACCATCACCACAGACAAATGAGATACAGACCTTTCCAAGCACCCGCTACAAACTCACAAAAACGCTACTGTCTTCAGCCGACTCGAACGCCCGGTCATCAAGGCTGCATCTGGACTGAAAATCACCCAAAATATGGCTGTAATGACAGGGCGTTCTATTCGGGTGAAGACGGCAGGGAATGCCAATGTCTAGGTCAGGTGCTATGACCTATTCAAGAAAATCCACAGGCGAGGGAAGAGGGGTGAGACTGAGTGAGAGAGAAAGAGCACCGGGGAGGAGGGAAATGCGTTCTACAAGGGAAAAAGACATCTGAGCCAGAGGGGAGGATTACACCCAAAGACAACGCAAGAGAACGAGGGAGAGATATCAACGCATCAAGTGCTTGAAAACGAACAGGAAGAGAGAAGAGACACGAGGACATAGCAAAACACAGAAAGGTAGGTGAAAGGGAAAGAGAGGAGCCCTGTACAGTGCAGAAATGGCCCTTGGGAAGACAAAAGCTTGCATTTCTAGCCACTTGCAGTGAAGATATGTTAAGCCCGCAGTTCTCCAATAGACTCTGAATTTCCCGCAAAATTTACGCAAGTTGTAGATGGAAATGGTTGAGCCCTCGTAGAGAACCGGTATAGGACGGGTGTAGATCCATTTTCGAAAGGAGACGAACCATTATTGGTATTGCTTACTGCACCGAACTGGCTCAGAATAGGCTACGAGATAGGTTTAGATAAAGAGGTTTAAGATTACCTTACTGCACCGAACTGGCTCAGCAGAGGGTACGAGATAGGTTTAGATAACGAGTTTTACGGTTACCGATCGTTTGAAGTCAAGTTTAAACACATTGGATCCGCATGTCCTTTTGCTCCATATAACGGATTTGCGTGTTATGCCAGCAAAAAAACTGACCAAGCAGATGGTGAGTGTTGAAAAGCAAAAGACATGAACCAGCAGTATACACTCAAAATCGCAATATCCCCTTTTCCCTTCCTCACTTAAGAGTTTTTCATAGTGTTTGCTCTAGGTGAGAGAGGAGCAGATGGGTGCTGCAAAGTGCAGCAATTATTCCAGGAAACTAACAGTTGCATTGGTATTTAAAAGAACAATCAGTTGACCGCCGCAGCTTCGATTGTGGCACAGAGGAGAGGCAGAAGGGGAAGTAGAGTTTCTCTCCCCCTCGTCCGCGCAAGGTGAGCAACAGAAAATGGAAACATTTTGGGACACCTTCTCTCCGCAGCATAACTTCTAGGTGCTATGTGAGTTGCTGTGGGTATATGTCGACTGGGTATTGAGCAGTACTATGTCCACTTGGTGTGGTACTATTTTGGTCAGATGTGGTGCTATCTAGATTGGGCTCGGTGCTATGGGAGCAGGGTAGGTTGGAACGACAATGTACGTGAACCACGCACACACACAGACACAGACACACACAATCAATTTTATGTATGTCTTTCTCCTTGTGGTTTGTCTGTCTGTTTTCCATGTGTTTTTCTGTAAGTTCTTTCTGTGTATACGTGTGAGCACCTTTAAGGTGTGCTAAACAGTCGGTGGTTGGGTGTTTGGAGTACTTGTAACAACATTAAGGGGGCCACTCCGTTTGTGATGTCTGTCTGGTGCATATGGTGCTGCCCGCCCCGCTTGTCATTCTTTGGAGCTGTTGTGTTAGCTGTGTGGTGTTGCTGAGTTGTTAGTGTTGCCTTGTGCTTCGCTGTGCTGCTGCCTTGACGCCCATCAGCATGCCTTGCCTTCTGCATTCTTTGGTTGTGCGCCGTGTAGTTTGGCTGCGTCGTTGGTGTTGCCTTGTGCTTCGCTGCGATGTTGCCATGGTGCTCGTCTGCATGTTTTTATTGCATATTCATATTATATCATCTCATATATAATAGTAGAATATCTTACTAAATAGAAAAAAATAATACATAATAAATAGAATAAATACATAAATAGAATTAGTAATAAACTAGAATTAGTAATTAAAAAATAATTCAAAGAAAAGACTGCCATGGTGCTCGTCTGCTTGAACTGTCGTTCATGCAGTTAGTTTTGGTCGTGTGCAGTGGGTTACCCCGGAAGCGTTGCCTGGTACTTTGGTGAGTGGTTGCCTGCTGCTGTGTTCCGCTTGTGTACAAACTGCTTTCAACAAGGGTCAAAGGCTTCATGGCCCAAAGCTTCAATACGGGGATTCTGTAGATCGTCGAGGGTTCTGCAATGAATTGCAGTGCCTCTCTGCAAGTTGTACACTAATTTCCTGCTTTGTGGTTGTCGGGACTTGATCCCGAGACCTCTGGTGTGCTGTATGTCTGCTGTGTTCCTTGTGTGTGTTGTTTTCTTCGGGACTTGATCCCGTAACCTGCAATTTGTATGTTTTGTTTGCGATTTCGAGCCCTATTGGGCTCGATCCCTGAGTCTGTCACTGGTAGTCTTAGGCCATTCGGCCTTTTCTTTTGCCTCGTCCTGGGTCTAGGTCCCCTTTCCTAGATTTCCATCTAGATACAGATGTGTCTTGGGCTGTTGCCTGAGGAATCCCTCGTAGGCTTCCACAGGACTGTGTTATTGGGTTTGGGCGCTGCCATTTCAAATTGGCAGCCATATCTGCTGTTCCTCCTCATGAAGAACTCCATCTTCTTCGAAGTGCTGGATCGGCTGTCGCCTTCTTCATCTTCTTTGAAGTGCTGGATCGCCTGTCGCCTTCTTCATCTTCTTCGAAGTGCTGGATCGGCTGTGTCCTTCTTCGAAGTTCAATCGGGTACATAACAGTTCAGCCTCCTGATGAGGTGGTGCAAGTCCAACAAAGCCAAACAAATTGCTTCAGCTCCTAGAACCGAAGATTGTGTTGGTTGTAGACGATGTGAATCTGCGTGTCCAACAGACTTTTTAAGTGTTAGAGTATATGCTGGATCTGAAACAACTCGTAGTATGGGATTAGCTCATTAAATTCCTATTTAACTTTCATCAGTTCGTATCTCTTTACATCCCTATACCTTTAAAAGATAGGGGTCCCACCGACAGACGTCGCCGCGGGCCCACGAGAAACCGTGGCAAGGGCCCATCGTCGGGTGTGCCAGGGAGGGACAGGACCGATGTGGGCGCACAAAGCAAGCGCCGCGTGAAAAGAGCGCCGCGTGCACGCCTGCAAGCGGAGGGGAGTCGCAGGCCGAGGCGAAACGATGCGGCGAAGTCGCACGCTGAGGAGAAACGAGGCCGAATTGGAAAAGGCGAGCGAGGGGCGTCGGGCGAGGGAGGGTCCGGGGCGGCACCGAACCGCCCAGACTGCGGGCGGGTGAGAGGGTGAAGCGTCAGGCACCGGAGAGAGAAAGAGGAGGGAGGTAGAGAGGTAGAGAGGTAGAGAGGTAGAGAGAGAGAGAGAGAGAGAGAGAGAGAGAGAGAGAGAGAGAGAGAGAGAGAGAGAGAGAGAGAGAGAGAGAGAGAGAGAGAGAGANGAGAGAGAGAGAGAGAGAGAGAGAGAGAGAGAGAGAGAGAGAGAGAGAGAGAGAGAGAGAGAGAGAGAGAGAGAGAGAGAGAGAGAGAGACTTGGGTGGCACTGTCAAGAGGTCCTAGAGGGGAGCACTTCGTAGTGGGAGTCGGTGTGGGAGACCGCAAGTGTCGTGCCTTTGTAGACATCGACTCCACGCGGAACTTCATAAGTCGCAACTGCTTTGAGAGACTGCGCCTAGGGGACCGGATGCAGCGCTTGGCTAGATTTGTAGGCTCTACCCTAACCAACAAAGAGCGCACGATTGTCAATGACTACGTCAAGGACGTAGTCTGCACCTTCTATAACGTAAGTTGGTAACTGAATCATCAGATTTCGTTCCTAGTTAGCAACGACTTACCATTTGATATGTTGTTAGGTATGAACTACCTCGAAGTTGCTACGCCCCAGTTCGACTGGAACCAAAAGGTGCTTAAACCACCAGTACCTAGCGGTTGTTAAGGCCCGTGGTTCAGCCTACCGGTATCCCGAACCTTGTCGAGCCTCGAGCTACTGGTAGGTACACATCGGAAGAAAAAAAAAGACAAAAAAAAAAAATTGACATTCTTCTGCCCAAAAAAAAGAAAAAGAAAAACAAAGATGCCCGTTTTGCTCTTTCCATCTTTGTGTCGCGTGGATCTCTTTCTCTCTCTTTCCCCCGCCGCACCTCTTGTTTGCAAAACGGGAAAGAATCTTCCCTCCCTTCCGGGAAGATTCATTCTTGTTTTGCAAATTATGACTGCCTCCGCGCAGTCATAATTTGCAAAACAGGAATGAATCTCCCGCAGACGCGGGAAGATTCTTCCCGTTTTGTAAAGAACCAGGCATTCTCTCTCTCTCTCTCTCTCTCTCTCTCACACACACACACACACACACACACACACACTCCTCCCCCGCACCGTGCAGTTCATATGTGCAAAGTGAGAATGAATCTTCCCGCGATTCGTTCCCGTTTTGCACATATGAGCTGCGCGGTGGTGTTGAGGTGGGGGCGAGAGAGAGACGGGGGGGAGGGGAGAGAGAGAGAGAGAGAGAGAGAGAGAGAGAGAGAGAGAGAGAGAGAGAGAGAGAGAGAGAGAGGGCCGGTGATTTTGACGCGACACTCCCCTCAACGCGCCGTCTCTCTCTCTCTCTCTCTCTCTCTCTCTCTCTCTCTCTCTCTCTCTCTCTCTGTGTGTGTGTGTGTGTGTGTGTGTGTGTGTGTGCGTGCGTGCGTGCGTGCGTGCGTGCGTCATAGAGATTCTCCTCTCTTTAGACGAGGCAAAAAAAAAATTTGCTAGAAATAACAAGGATACGGAAGACATTCGATGATGTTAATATATGTATACAAAATAGAAAATAAAAATATATTACTCCTTTGACCAGGTAAGTTAGATGCATACTGTCGCTATTTGGACATATCGTGAACCGAAATGGGCAGGCCCTACCGGGTTCTCGCCGAAAACAATACCGTATTGGATTTTTTAAAATCAAATTAGGTGAACGCGTCGAAGTTAGAGCAACGGCGAACCGATTTGGAATTTC